AGAGAATTATGGCGAGACTGAGACACTTATCACAAAATTCAGTGACATTTTGTAGTATATAGAAAATCCCAAAAAAATGATGCCGAAAAGTCTTTCCAGCATGGTAGAAATGATATTTACCTCATATTTCCAGGTCTTCAACTTTTCGGCATCGACTCGGGGGCACGCTCAGTGTATCATGTCTTCTCCTCTGCACCAGGCTGCTGCTCGAGATTCTTGGATTTGATCCGGAGATTCTCTGTAGCTTCAGAAGTGGATTTCTGAAGGGAAAATTTAAAAAAATCATCTTCAGCAAAGCAAGGAATACTGGTTGGTGGTATACCTACCCCTTCGAAACATATTAGTCAATGGGGAGGATGACATCCCATATATGAAATGGAAAATAAAAAATGTTTGAACCACCAATCAGAATATGTTGATCACCCTGATCCAATCCATTCGTTGACCCCAGCTGGTATAGAGCCAGCTGTCATCTATATCTGGGATCAGGCACCGGATATTCCCAATGGTTCCTTAGTTGCTTACCCAAATGTTAGCATACACTGATAGTTAGTTACCCAATAGTTCCTTTATTTCTGATAGCAACTTGTAAAAACTGGTTGGTGGTTGAGCCCTACCCCTCTGAAAAATGATGGAGTTCGTCAGTTGGGATTATGACATTCCCAGTATATGGAAAGTCATAAAAGCCATGTTCCAAACCACCAACCAAATATATTGTTATTCCAATGATTAACAAGTATTAACCATAGTTCCAGTCACCACCAACCAGCCATGAAAATCCCATGAATATCCATTGAATCCACATACCCACATCACCGCTCTGTTGACCCAACTGTTTGTATACACTGAGGATTACGCTCGGTGAGGTTTAGTGATGTGAACGTTGGTTTACAAACGGATGAAAACACAAAATTTAACGAGTTCGTTATATCTACCATAAACCGTAGTTAGTTAACCCATAAACCATAGTTAGTTCACCTAGGACCTACAATGTGGTGCCCCCCAGTGATGTTTGATGGTTTATAAACCCCATGAATACTATAGTTATAGGTACCATAAACCATAGTTATTGGAGTTATGTTCACCAACTGAACGCTATCGAACGGGGGCTCCACTTTTTTTGGCCCAACTTCGAGAAATCCTTCGTTTTTTTGGCAGAAAATGTGGCCGAAACCAAACTCTCCGAATCCTCCAGCCGCAAAACTCGACCAGCAGAACCTGGAGTTGTCTTCTCTTTTCTGCCGCTTGGCCGTCCTGCCAGAGATATGGGCTGCAGCCCGCTGCTGCTATGATGAACCATAGGATTTTTCGAGGATTTTTTGGAGGGCACCGTAGAGAAGGGGAGCCAACTGGGAAAATCAGCCGTTGGGGCTTTTAATGACCCAAAAAAAAGACAGTTTACCGGCGATGAAAAAGGCCAGAATAGATTGGAGCAATGGGGCCAACCGGACCGAGTTGCGCCTAAGATGAGCACGGCGACCGGCGGTTCAGAATGGGACCGATCCACAACCATCAATCATGCCAAAAGCAAATGCAAAGGTGTTCAAAACCCGAAATGTTACAGTATTCCATTGTATTCCATTTCATTAATCCTGGTTGGTCAAAAACAGGACTCCCAGGTCATGGATTATGATAATCCCCATTGCCCATTGCATTGGGTATCACCCCTTACAATCATCAATCAAAAGGGGTGGAAGAGAAGCTACTGCTCATGTCACAGTGCTCGCTTCCACTGATGAATCTAGACCCGGAGGAAGGATTCAAAATTGGTAGGCCGGCACACAAATTGGATGATGTTTTACATGTTCAGCCACAAAATATTTGGGGGGCCAATCCCAATCCCCCATATTTTTAGATACACGCGGAGAATCTCGGATAAACACATCATTGCTAATATCCCATGAAAATTCCATGAAAATTCACCATTTGTAGATGGATAAAAACAGCACGAAAGATCACGAAAGATATCTCCAGCAGCCTTTCTGGCAGTATCTCCAGCGGCCTCATTGTCTTTGCAATGCTGCTCCAGGCCCTAAAGTACCACTCCGTCTCGAGGTCAAAAACGTAACCTCGATCCGTCTCTTTGAAAAAAAAAGGGGTGTTTTTCTGGGTGCAGTTGGGGTGGATTTTTTGGGGGTAGAACATGGTACAAGATGGTACAAGTACTAAATAACCATGGTTCTACTGATCAGAAGTTTAAATTAGAATATGGGGCCATGTGATGTTATGATTGTTATGTGCAATTCTGATTTAAATTTACCAACTTCAAAAAAGTGGAACTGCGCCACCAAGGATGGTCGTCTCCCCATTTTTTTCTGTGGAGACGGATGAACATCCACAGATCCTAGCTGTTTTCATCTGAAAAGATCTGAAAAGATCTGGGGATTCCATGTGTTTTTTTATCTATCGCCATCTTCAAAATCAGAAACAGGTTACATTTTTCCCAGCCCCTGATGGCCGCTGAGGCTTTGGAGTGAACATGAAGAAAAGGGGGAAGTCATGTCACCCTGTCGCTTGCATAGTCCGATTCTCTTGGCATGTGACATGTGCGATCCCATTTGGAGGTTATAAAAATGGTTATTTGGTAGTGTCAAGTAAATAATCCTCCAAAAAATGGAAACCAAAAAGTAATGTACCACCCCACCTTTCCCAGGACATCTACAAGATGTGAAAAATCATAATGATTCAAGAACTTGAAGCCAGCTAGTGAAGCCATACTAAGGGGGAAACCTCTAAGGATGATCTCCAGCGGCTTGCGAACTGGAAAATGGCCCAGTCGAAATAGTTGATTTACCCAGCTACAACATGGTGATGTTCCATAGTTATGCTAGTCTACCAGAGGGTACTAACTATCAGTTCTTGGTATATCCTAACTGGTTGGTGTTGAGCCTACCCCTCTAAAAAATATGAGTTCGTCAGTTGGGGTTATGACATTCCCAACTGAATGGAAAGTCATAAAATTCATGTTCCAAGCCACCAACCAGCTAAGTAGTATGTGGCCTATTTCGATACATCTAGGCCTATTTCTCTTGGAGGCTCTACTATGATCCTCCGTGGCAGCACATGCTGAGGGGCCACTGCGGTTGATCTATAACAAACTACCAATGGACCGCTCAATCCGCAAAGAAAAACTACACCAGTATGTACATATGACATGTACATATTGTATCTATGTATATAAGAGAGATATATACATATATACAGAGAGAGAGAGAGAGAGATGTAAATAAAAAAAATGTTCCAAGAAAGCTGCCATGTAAGATTAAAAAAAAAAAACACCTGCCTGCGGGACCGGGCTCCGCTGGCTCCTGGATGGAGGTCGGTGATCCCATCAACGAGAATAATTCAGCAGTTGACATCTTCGACAAGTTTACAAGTTTACATGGTCAATCTTAACGAACTTGCGGCAAACTCAGATTTTTTCCTAGTTTCGGCTAGGTTGAGAACTCTCCCGGAATGAAATTTGCGATTGCAACAGTTTTTATTTGTGTTAAACTACCAATCCCAAGGTGCAACAAGCTCTTCGACCATGGCAGAAAACCAGATTCTGCTGGTGAGATGACCATGTTCGAAGGAAGTTTAGAAGCTAAACTTCCGACAATATGGACAGTTGAAACGCAGAGCAGGGAAGAGGCAGAGAGAAGAGAAAGATTAGAAGAAAGAAGAGGTAGATGCGCGAAAAGATAGGAAAGTCGCGATTCACTGTGTTTTTCCAATGATTTGTGGCTCCGGAGGGTCGAAAAGTAGGCTCGCTAAAGCGGCGGGTGCGGAGCCAGCTGGCCAGATGAGAGATGAAAAATTGCACGCCGTTGTGGCGCGAAGCACATTTCCAAGTCAAAATGGACAAAACACTAGAGGAGCGGACCACTTTTGGACGTTGCGATGTTGAAAAAGTGCACGCCGTTCTGGCGCGAAGCACATTTGGAAGTCAAAATGTACAAAACACACCAATGTCGGACCACTTTTGGAAGTTGAGATGTCGAAAAAGTGCACGCCGTTGTGGCGAGAAGCACGTTTCGAAGTGAAAATGTACAAAACACACCATGGTCGGAGCACTTTTGGAAGTTGAGATGTCGAAAAAGTGCACGCCGTTGTGGCGCGAAGCACATTTCGAAGTCAAAATGTTAAAAACACTAGGGGTTCGGACCACTTTTGGAGGCTCAGAGGTCGAGTTTCGAAAAAGTGCACGCCGTTGTGGCGCGAAGCACATTTCGAAGTCAAAATGTGCAAAACACCAGGGGTTCGGACCACTTTTGGAGGCTGAGATGTGGAGTTTCGAAAAAGCGCACGCCGTTGTGGCGCGAAGCATATTTGGAACTTAAAATGTTAAAAACAGTAGGGTTTCGGACCACTTTTGGCGGTGCAGAGGTTGCTTCGCTTCAACTGCACCTACAACTACAAGTACACAACGACACTACACGACATGTACAACTACACCGAAGATAGACAGGTAGACAGCTAGACAGATAGATAGATAGATAGATAGATAGATTAGATAGATAGATAGATAGATAGATAGATAGGTAGATAGATAGATAGGTAGATAGACAGATAGATAGATAGTTAGAAAGATAAATAGTGAGAAAGATAGGTAGATACATAGAAGATAGGTTGGTAGGCGGGTAGATAGTCAGAGAAAGAGAGAGAAAGAGTGAGAGAGATCAAGCACCTTTCAGTCCATCAGTGGCTTCGCTCTGCCATCCCTGATTCACAACAACCAATCTCTCCTATAGGTTTCCTATTTTTGAAACTTCCGCCACCGCCTTGTGCGGTACTACTGGTAACATATGACTGGTGAAATCACCAGTTCATCAACCATCATGTTCCCATATCTCTATATCATCATTAATATCCCAGTAATATCCTGTTAGATCCCCATATTTCTATCAGATTCTTATAAATCTGGGTAAACCCCAGATTTTTCACCAGTGAAATCATCAACCCAATAAACCAACCAACTCTATTCCTATCAGATTCCTATGATTTTCATGGTGAAATCCTCAACAAAGCCAGCTCCCTCGCCTCAGCGCCCCGAGGGCCGGCCCTTGGAACGGCGCTTGGAACGGCACTTGGACCGCTTGGAGCGTCACGGAGCCACAAGCGCCCTGGGGAAATGGTGAAAAGTGAAAGTGGTGGAAAAATCTGGGGAAGTTTACCATCAACAAATAAGGACAAACCATGGGATTTCATGGGATATCAATGGTAAAAAATTGGAGATTGAAGATGATCTAATCATGAATTCGGGGACTGAAGTTGAATTTGGAAACTCGATTGATAGTTGGAAATTGACGAACATAAGTATCGGGATGGTCATGTTGAGCCCGTGTGAATTTTGACCCTGGGCTGTTGAACATTGGGTGAAATCAGGTTTGAAAAGGTCGGGCCTACCTGGTTCATCAACCAAAGGTCATGAATCTGAGATTGACATTATGATTGGAAATTAGCTCAATGGCCACTTCAGGTACCTAAATTGGAGGTACTGTACCATATAAGGCCATATTTTGTGGGGATATTCCCTCTGTAGGTACCTCCAATTTAGGATCCTGGAATTCCCATTGAGCTTGAGCTATTGACTTAGAAAAAGTACGATTTACGAACCCAAACATTTCCACACAAGAACACACGCTTCGACCAGCAGGGATATCACGGTATCAGGTCGCCAGGTTGATCATCCAGTCACGTCACTCGTCGTAGAAAATAGATGTGCTTAATTAGTGACTAGGAATCCCTAAGGTCCTACAGTAGGATTCCTAATATATGGAGATTTTCAACCAAAACTTGGCAGTACACAAAACATCACCAGTCATGGATGATGACGACTATCGGTCAACAAACCATGGGTTTTACTATGGCAATCTATGGGATCCCCCATGACTTCAGAAAGCCCCAAGCACCTGCCGAAGGGGTTGCCACAGCAGCTTTTTCAGGCCTAGCGTCCCAAGATCATGGCGATCATGGCCATGTTCAAACACTGGGGAGATCGACAATGGGCATCCAAAAGAAATCAAACGTGGACATCAGAATTGAATTGGGCACATCTTCAAAAAGTGGGAAGTTCCATAATAATACATACAAGACAAAGCTTCAAAAAAATGGGAAGTTGATACATAAGATAGTCCATCTTCACTTCGTGAAGAAAAAAAACATGGGCGCTTATGCCTTGGGGTCCAGTCTTCGAAGCGTCCCTTTGGGGTATTGGGATCATCATTCCTTGGGGCTGCACGAATCGTGCCTGAAATACTCCAAGTTAGATTCTTGGAAGAACCTATGTTTGGATAAACAATGGGTTATATATATATAGTATTATAGAATGTACATATACATACATTTTTGGTATTATATGATGTTATATGTATATGTGTATATATATATATATGTATATACACACAATTATACAAATGGATTTTTCCAATCACGGATCTTCCTGGGCACTCTGTGAAGCCCCAGGACCTTGGTGCACTTGGTGCAGCTGCTGCCGCCGTGTTTCCAATGGCCTCCGAAAAAGCTGGGCTTCGAGGTAGTCAGAGGATGGTGTTAAGATAGGTTATCATAGGTTATCCTTAAAATATGGTATGTATATATATATATATATTTGTTATAATATTGTTATAATAATTAATAACAGATATTGTTATTGTTATATATACTATAAAATACTGTGATTATGTCATAGTATATATTGTTATAATAATTATTAACAGAGGATGGAAAATAAAAACCCCGCTTATAATAACCATTGGGTGGTTATCCATATTGTCTAATGGTTGCTAACCTATACTACAATGGTCTAGTTTATGGTTAATAATTGTGGTTAATCATTGTTAATAATGGTTAATAATGGGATTACCCTCTGGTAAACTAACATAACGATGGAAAATCACCATTTCTACTGGGTAAATCAACTATTTCTATGGCCATTTTCCAGTTCGCAAACTGTTAGTTTACCAGAAGGTATACCACTTGATATCCCTATCATATCCCTGTTTTTCCAATTCCCATTCATATCTGGATGTTCTCTTTTTTGTATTCATGAACCACTAGCCCTTAAAAGTATACAGCCCATTTGGGGATCGTTTAACGCGTTAAACCATCATTACCGTTTCACGTCACGGCGTCGTGAAATGGGGATAATGGGGATAGAATGATGATTTACCTATTAGAAAAACGGTGATTTTCCGTGGCGAAATAACCAGAGACTATATTTTCCCTCTGAGACTGTTCGGTTCCCATTATAACAGTTTGCTATTGAAAATGGCCATAGAAATAGTTGATTTACCCAGTAAGAATGGTGATTTTCCATCTTTATATTAGTTTACCAGCGGATAAAAGTTCCATCACTATTGATATCCGCATTCAATGGTGCTTAAATGAAGTTCTTAAATACCAGATTGCCCATCACTGTCAGGGGGTATACAATTACAATAGCATAGTATATGAAATTCAAATATTAGTTCATTACCATTATATAACCATTTATTTTACTTCATCATTACCGTTCTATAATGGCTATATATTCGTAATTGCCAATATATGTATAATATATATAATATGTATAATTTGGGTTAAACAAATATTAGTTCATTACCATTCTATTATCCCAAACTATCATTGCCTTTTTTTATATAAAGTGCATAGTTGCCATTATGGTAATGATAGTTTGGGAAAATATCTACTGTGAAAAGTATCACATATCAAAATATCCTAATATGATGGTAATATCTAGTCCTAATATTATGGGCAACAAATATGTGTAAATCCCCTACTAAATCATGGTTTCTAGGGGGTGCTTAGTATTAGGGGAAAGGGATTATATTCTCCCAAACTATCATTACCAGTACCATCTAGGTAATTTACGAATATTTACAATAATTCAACGACCTGAAATGTTCGGCCATGAATGGGGATGATTTCCCCCAACCTGCAGTAACCATCATTCCAGTGAGGTCGAAATATTAAACACCCTACAAATGGACCCCAGATAAGTGATTTCTCCTCTATATCCACCAAAGTTTCTAGGGGGTGTTCAGTCTTGGGGTGATGGGATTATAGTACCATTAGCATTAACTCAAGTAGGGATGGGATGAAATATTACCATTACCATTATATGTCAACCCTGGATTAATAAACCCCTAGGGCCCCAAACGGTTGTTTAATTGGGGGGATACCATTTAAGTATCAGATTATGACTATTTTGGGGAGTACCCCCCTAATTCATAAACAATGGTTTAGTCTCATCCGGGGTTGACATTATATGTTCATTATATAGGTACCATGATTACCTCGAGTGCTGGCCACCCATCCCCCCAATGCTTACATTACGCGCGCCTTCGCCGTCGGCGGCCATGGCTCGCCCCGGGCTGCTGCTGCGCCGCGGCTACGCCTCGTAGCCAAAGCCACTGGTTTTGATCAACCATTATATTAGCATTATATGGCTATGAGTCAAAACCTTGTACCCCTGGTGAACATCAAAATAGTTGGTAAATGGATGTTCATCCCACTAAAAATGGTATTAATAGGTATTGATCCATACCCATATCACCATGTTTATATATGTAATGATGAAAAGTGCCTCCAAAATAGGTAAACGAAGGAAAGTCAGAAAATTGATTTATCATCTGCCAAACAATGGTTTACCGTTTTTTGATCTGTCATAACCTGTAGAAAAGTGCCTTGAACGGATTCAGAAACCTTATCCTGATTTTTAGAAATAAAAATCAGGTAGGTGGTTTTGAACGAAAGCAAAAACAGTGTTGTTTTTTGATAACAGTGATTGCTAAAAAACAATGATGACACCAATACAATAATTTTCATCAGCTCCCCCAGCCCAAAATGAAGAGATCCAAAACCAGAGGGTTTCTGGTAGTGTTTCCTCCTATTGGGGTGACAAAAATGATAATGATAAGGAGTAATACTTGTTAGCACAAAACAATGATAATGATTGCCATAATAAGCCCCCAAGTAATGATAAACTAACAAAAAATACAAACAAAACGATAATGATAAACTGTAGCCCCCCCAGAGTAATACTTGGGGGCTTATCATGGCATATCGTGGCTGTACATTGTAGCACTTTAGATGAACCACTTGCTGGGATGAAGATGGCGGCAGCCCTACAAAACCTCAATCTTGAGCTGGTTGGTATCCCATCAAACTTGCAGAACAGAATCAGCTACATTCTGTGACACAAGTTGTTGATAGGGATTCCCCCCCTGGATTCTGAGAATCCGCAATATTTTTTTTTGTGTAGGATAAACCCCTTTATTAAATCATCAACCAACAGCGGTTTTGCAGCCACTGCTCAAGTGAAACTTGGTTTCATCGTTAGCTGATCCCTGCTCCGGGGGTCCAAAAAAGGGAAAGCCTCAAACACCGGCTTGCTCCCGCTGGCTGCTAGACCCTTTTTCAGATGTGCCTTACCCGCATCTTCATGGATTTAGACGATATTGTTTTTAGTTGTCAGCCATAATCTTAAAGCATGTCAATTCATCTTACCCGTATCTTTTATGAATCTATCTGTTCCATTGTTCCATTCTGTTCCACGTTCCTGAACATCTCTGGCCCCATGGGGAAATTCCAAAAAACCATCTCTGATGGTCGGTCTTGCCACTGGCTAACTCCCAAGCCGTCGGACATGCGGACGGATCGGGAGCCCATGTTGGTATGATTCACTTTACCCTGGAATCTAAAAAAAGATGTGTTTCAGTTTCAACTGTTTTTTTATATGGTGTTGATCCAAAAAATGGGGGATATGGGCCCTATTCATTGCAATGATCAATGAGATTTTGAGGTACGCTCCTATTTTCAGAGAAGCCTATGTTGGACCCAACCAATAGTTAGCTCGCAGACCGCCCCGCGTGTGAGCGGTGACAAAACTGTTTAGTAAAACGTGGAAGTGTTCATCGGGATTCACATTTCTGATGATCCTGGAAAGATGTACCCTCTGGTAAACTAACATAGCTATTGAAAATGGCCATTTATAGTGGATTTTCCCATTAAAAATGGTGATTTTCCATAGCTATGTTAGTTTACCAGAGGGTAACTGCTCAATTGCAGCACCAGAAAACAACTGGGATTTCACCATGAAAGAGGAGTGGATGTACAAATCTAACCAGCAAAGTTCATGAAATGAGAAGTCATAGATGTTTGGGTTTCATCAGTTTAATCCTATCTATTTTATCCCAATTGCATCCCATTACATCCCAAAATTGGGTGTTAAATCCTATCTTATATACAGATATTTAGGTATATAGGTAGGTAGGCATGCATGTCTGTGTATACATATGTATACCACATATCCCACTGCATACAATGTCAAAAATGTTTATTACTGTTTCCGTACTGTTTATATCTATATATATATATATATCGGGATGGTTTATCCGGTTGGTTTATTATGTATGTATATGTGTAAATGTGTGTATATATATATATGATGGTTATCCCCTTGGTTTACATGCGTTAGTGTGAATAAACATTATTTCATATGGTTATCCCATTGGTTTATTAATCTTATGATATCCCCATTGGTTATAAGCGGAAACTCGTTGCCAGTTGCCATGTGGCATCTCGGCCAGGAAAGTTTCGACATTCTGCAGCTGTGCCTCGCAGGATTTTTCAGCCCTTTGGGGTTTTCCATAAATGGTGGTACCCCCAAATGGATGGTTTGTTTCATGGAAAATCCATCTATAAATGGATGATTTAGGGATACCCCCCATGACAAAACGGAAACCTCCATATTTGTGTTGATTACCCAAGGAATAGATTGGAATTGGAAGACCCTCCGGTGTTATTCAACGTGGCTTGCTGGAAAATCCATCATCTACAAGATATTTTTCCCAGCTAGAAAACTCCATTTGTCGGGTTTCCCCTGACAGCCATGCTTGACTACTGGCAGGTATGTATCACTTGGCTATACTTGGCTAATCTTCTTAGATTCAAGGTTTTAACTGAGAATTTGCCGCGTTACCAGATCACTGGGATCGCACCTGGACTGAAAAACCGATCGCATCGTGTTGCTTCAAATGAAGTTGTGTCTGAAAATGATGCATTTTAACCCCAAAAATAGACAAAAATGTGTAACGATTTTAGTAGGGAAATTTTTCTGAGAAAAGCCATATGGATGTTGGGGGACCCTTCATTGGTTTTGAGTGACTCAAAAATCATCTAGTAGAAATCCCTTCATGAGAGCAGAACTCCAATAAAACAACCACTGGTCTTGTTAGCTCTAGCAGTCTTATCCTAATCTTAAGAGGCAAACACACACACACATATATATATAGTCTTAAGGCTGCAGCTTGCAAAGCAACGTGCATGTCTTAGTAAGTTTTTGATAGTTTCTGTGGTTTATATATGTTCTGGTTGGTGGTTTCAACCCCTCTAAAAAAAATATTAGTCAGTTGGGGTCACTATTCCCAATATATGGAAAAAAAAATGTTCCAAACCACCAACCAGGTCTATACATATAAAATCCCTATAAAATCCCATTAAATCCCATTAAACCACTAGAAATCACTATAAGCCATGTATTTTTCTGGGTCCCATGGTTGCCCCTTGCAGAGCCTCCAGGACATCAGCGCTGTCAAGCGGGGGGAGAGGCAAACTCACCTGGTATGGTGGCGGCGAAGGTATGGTGGCAAGGTATGTCCCAATTTCCTGTTCTATGTGCCTTTTTTTCCAGATCTCTTGAATGTAGATGTATACTTTTTTTAATGAATGTGTAGACCAGCTTGTCTAACGTGCATTTTGCTAATTGCTGTACTCATCTATCTATACTATACACTGCCATACTTCTGTGTTACAGAAAGTATTTGCATGTTTGAGTTGTATTTGTTGATATCTCAGTTGCAAATATGGAGAAGGAAAGACAGATGCAGCATCGGCAATGTGTATATTATATATATATATATACATTATATATATATATATACATTATATATATATACATTATATATATACATTATATATAGATATGTAAACGTTATATTATCATTATATATATATATACATCATCAATAGCATGTATGATGATGTTTGATGATTATGTCAATTGATCAATTTATCACCTCTTCATAATATAGATGAAAAATATTCCATCTCTGCAGCTAAAATCCAATGGTTTTTCCTGCCAAAGCCAGGGAATTTCACGCCAACCATTCAGGATGAGGCCCCCAGTCGAGCTCGCGTTCAGTTGCTTGAAATAAGTGGCTGAATTCTATGGTTTATGATAGATATAACTAACTATATGTTAATGATATAACTAACTATAGTTAATGGGGTTTATAAACCAGCTTATAACTGGAGGGGCCCCATCCTGTTGATTGTGCAGTTGACCAGTCACGAAAAATTAGATGTGGCCGATATGACACCAATTGAGTTGCCTTTCATAGTTCCAGTTACACCCACCAGATTTCAAGATGAAACCCCAATTTCACTGGAAGAAAATGATGTTTCTACGTAGTGACTCTAGTGGTAGCATTTTTTTTGGCCAACCCATATCCCATATCAAAAATTTGGGTGAACTACCCTCCGGTAATTTAACATAGCTATTGAAAATTGCCCATTTATAGTTGATTTACCCATTACTAATGGTGATTTTCTACAGCTACGTTAGTTTACCAGAGGGTAACTAACTATCAATTCATGGTATACCCTAACTGGTTGGAGTATACCTATCCCATATCAAAATTTGGGTGAACCAGCTATAACTGGTTGGTGGTTTCAATCCCTCTGAAAAATATGAAAGTCAGTTGAGATGATTATTCCCAACTGAATGGAAAGTCATAAAAGCCATGTTCCAAACCACCAACCAGGTCTATACATATAAAATCCCTATAAAATCCCATTAAATCCCATTAAACCACTATAAATCACTATTAAATCCCATTGAACCCATATAAGCCATGTATTTTTCTGGGTCCCATGGTTGCCCCTTTGCAGAACATCCCCGGCGCGCCTCTTCGTAGCGTCGCTCTTCCGACGGCAGCGGAGGCAAGTCCGGGAGCTGAGGCGCCAAAAGGGGGGGTCCATGGATTGGTTTAAGGGAAAATCTGAACCGGAAACCATAGATTTTCCCATGGATTATGGGGCTTTCCTGTTCAAATTTTCCCTTAAACCAATCCATCGATATATATATATATATATATATCAGTTTCTATGAATAATAAAGCTATGATGAAATTGAATATCAAGTACATATTTTATAAAAGTGTATGAATTTAAAATGATATAGAAAAAGATAGAATCAGATAGAACAGATAGGATCAGCCGAGAATCGTCCATTTTTTTTTAGGGTCAATGTGTCAGTTGGAGGCTACCTTTCATCAGGAATACCATGGAAGATGTGGATTGACCCAACTGGTTGGTGGTTTTAAAACATGGTAAAATGGCGAGGTAAAATGGTGATTTAATGATGGTCAATGATGATTAATGATTGTTAACAATGGATCTGGTTGGTGGTATACCTAACCATCTTGAAAAATGATGGAGTTCGTCAATGGGAAGGATGACATCCCATATATGAAATGGAACATGAAAGTCATGTTTGAAACCACCAACCAGATATATCAGATATACACTCTGGCAATGTAACCTGGCTAGCTGGGAATTCCTCCTTGTGGAAAGTAGTAGGGAAAATCATCAAAATGAATGAGTTGTATAGGCCGGACAAGCCTTCAAGTGGCATATGTCAAATGGCATCTCCATATTACAACAATGAAACGGGGAGTTGGATATAGTGCGAATCCCAATGAATCTCCCACGAGAAAAAGCACCCCCCCGAAAACCCTGATGTCTTCCTTGTGAGTGGAGACTCGCTTGGTCATCGGAAATGCAATTGACAGTTTCACTTCTTGTGGTGAATGTGCCGCTACTTGATTTACTTGGGGGTATCCCAATTTTGTCCAACAGACTCAAAATCTCACGGCGATTATCTAGCGTACTAGTATGTCACAGTCCTAACCCCTATGCTTAGCTGTATCCCCATCTATCTTTGTTGACACATGTTTGTAAGTTGTGTCCACATTTGTTTTAGTGATCCTCTGCGAAAAGTTGACGACTAGTGGTTCACAAATGTGGGATTCGCTGCCATGTTTACCCCAAGTCACCAATGGGAACCAATGGAGGTTTCCAAAAATGGAAACCTAACCCCGGCTACCTCTCATCCATTTTAGTGGCTGGGTTTTTCCCATGGAAATTTCTACCATCCAGCTATATCCAGCTATTGGGATATCCCCAGCTAGTGGAAACCCCAACGGTTGCAGCCGGACTGGCCTGGAGCTGCCGTGCATTGTTCAAGAAGACATCCAGATCATCTAACTGACACCTCGGGATGGAATCAGAAAATGATATAGATCATCATGATAAATTGAATCATCTCACTATCCAATAATTGCCATTTAAAGCCCCAAAAAAAATCCGGACATGCGACGATATAAATAGGATATCAATCATAAGATCATCATGGGATGGAATCGTAAACTGATCAGAAAATGAACATAAAGTCCTTCCTTCCATGGAAGAGTATAAAAGATAAGAAAGTTTGGGAATTCCCATCCCAAGGTACGGAAACTATTATGGACTATAGCTGCACCCAATTGTTGGAAATGGAATATAGAAAGGAAAACCACTATGGAGGACTACTACATTAGGACTGCAGCAATTTCACCATCCCTGTTGCGGACAGTAAGGTCTGTAAGAATATATCAGGATTATCAGGAAGTCAAAGCCCCTAGTTACATCAACAATCAACAAGGCGGTGCCCCCAGTTCTATGAGGGATTTACCCCCCACTATAGATATATCTGCCATAAACACAGAGTGAACCAACGCAACTCAGAGAACAGGTCCTGGGGCACTGGGGCACCAGTGGCCAAGCTGGCTGAATCTCCGCCGCATTGTAGCCACAATGTGCTTAGAAGTAAACTTGTGCTGTGTATATGTAGAGGGAGAGAGATAGACATACTTATGCATATAATATATATAATATATATATATAATAATAATATATATATATACAGTACTCTGGCATTGGGACGATTTGCCTGAGGAAATTAAGCGGAAACACTGTGCCAAACCAAGTACAGCTGCGGCAAGGCCATGTCCTGAGGTTTATCGTCATGCTCCTCCCATTCAAAGGGGCCCCATTTTCCGACGAGCCAAATCCAGGGCGGACATTCGCCCAAAAGTTCATTTGAGTTTAGTTCAATTTGAGCTTAGTCACTTTAGGGGTTGGTTTCGGGTTTACTTAGGATTAGGCTTTGTTTGGGGTTTGCTTAAGGTTTGGGGGTGCTATTTAGGGTTGTTTCAGGGGATTTTGAAGTTATTTATGGTTGATTTAGGCTTGGTTTGGGAGTTATTTAGAGTTGGAGAAGATGCAAATTACGGAGAAGATGTTTAAGACTTTAAGAACGTGGTTCAAAAGGTCACTTTAAGCGCATCTCCCACATGGAATTCCGTCGATTTCGATAGCGTCAGCACGAAATCGATGTGCGCATTTATGTATCCCATTGATAACCCTTTTTTTCCCTCTGGTAAACTAACAGTTTACTATGGAAAATCACCAGAGGGTATATGATATAACTCATTCCTTGTGTGGAAATTCCATGACACTTCTGAATCAGCTCAGCTTACCCAGTACGTAACTGGCACCCATGAAATCTCAGTCTTTGCTTGGATCGAAGAATTCTGTCCGATTTTTTGTTTTTTTTTGGAGTTTTAAAAAAGTGAATTAACCATAATTAACCTTTGGATTTGAGAAATCCCACCATTCCCTGATTCATTTGATTGGTTTACTGGAAAATTTACAGGAAAACCCCATATTTAATGGTAAAAACCATGGTTTCCTTTAGATTTTCCCTTAAACCAATCCAATGACTGATGTTTTTTCTTGGAGAAATCACCAGCCATTGTCCCCGTTGGGCCCTGGCTGGAAGCCCCGCCTCAACAACTCCCGAGACAGGGCCGACAAATCATCAGCGCCATCCATGGCACGGATGGCACGCTTCCCACATCGATGTCAAATCTCTGAGGTTTACATGGATTTCAGCATGGGATAGCATGGTCAATCTTTGGTAGTCCAAAGATAAAATGTAAAATCTTTTGCCGGGCAAATGCATGGTTATGGTTAGTGTCCATGTATATAGCAAGAAACTAAAGGATCTTAAATTACCTATCCAAGGTTGGGGATTTGTTCATGATGGGATGATAATAGGATAATACTGGTTAATCATCATGTACCCTCTGGTAATTTGTTACAGTTCGCTATTGAAAATGGCCCATAGAAATAGTGGAGATTTACCTATTAAAAATGGTGATTTTCCATAGTAAACTGTCAGTTAATCATCTTGTATTCGTGGTGGTAAAATTGGTCAAACAGAGTCTAACAATGATCCACATCTCAACCATTGATTGGTGATGAACTTCATGCCCAAAAAAAGAACATCTCAACCAAGCCCTGTTTTACAGGAATTCTTCAGAAAGTCTATAGCCTCTGATAATCCAACCCGGCAGAATCCTTATGTGTTGAGCATCCGTTTGTTTTTGGGGAAATTCCCTTTGAAATAATGTCAAAGCCAGGGATGTCTCATTGACAAAACGCCAGCAAGCTGGCGGTCGAGCCCCAACAGACGTTCTGAGAGCTTCACTCTGATTTAATGGCGGATGAGGCAAATCAAACAAAGCTGTCTGAATACATGTGTTAGGGATGAAATAGTTGAAACCGCCAACGATATAAGTTCGCAGAAAATCGCGAACGAACGAACGAACGAAGGAATGCATGAATGGATACAGAAGTAAAATAGGTCGTGGCGCTGCATAGGAAAAGAAAAACTTGAGAAACCAATGAATATCCTCTGGTAATTTAACATAGCTATTGAAAATGACCATAGAAATAGTGGATTTTCCCATTAATAGCATGGTGGATCTTTCCAGGTCGCTATGTAACAGTCATTACCGGAGGGTATCCTCTGGCAATTTTTCACATGGCTAGACAATCCACTGGGGAATTCTCCAGCCATGGGCTTCCCATGGAATGGCAACCAGCCGGGCTTAGCCGAAAGCCGAGGCCAGGTGGGATAAATTGCTGGGATCTTCACCCAGATGTTGTGAAGATTCTATGCCGCCTTTTTTTCTTTCCAAAAAAAATCGAGCACTTCGTCAGGCTCCAGTTTTGCACGATTCGATAGCCTTGCTGTTCCTGTGCCCACAACCTCCACTGGTATGATCGTGAAAACGTGGTGACGTGATCGTTGCTTCACAACACATATCACAAATCCCACTAAGTTCATTGGATTGGTTTAAGGGAAAATCTACAGGAAACCATGGTTTTTACCATCAAATATAGGGCTTTCCTGTAAATTTTCCCATCATCCAATTCTATGATAAGTCTGTCACTTTAAGACTTGGCTTTTGCCCAAATAAATCCCAGCTCTAAGTGCAACCCTTATCATATCGGGCTGCTCCATGAATTGGAAGCCCATGAACCATACCATGGTTTAGATAATTAGATGATTCTGGCTGAATTATATTAATTCACTGACCTAAAAATGGCTGAAACAGATACGGCCATTTGGGGACAATTCCCCAAACCATCATTCCAGTAACGTCAATATGTGAGGTCACAACATGATAATTCATCCAGATATGTGACACAGAAATTAAACCATATTGAAAAACATTATATGATTCCTATCGATTATATATATATAATTATACATATATATATATCATTTATATCGTATACTATATTTTTACAATACCCCATGAATATAGCATTACAATCCCATTTTCCCTCGTCTTTCATGGCGAAAATCTCCGGGTCACCGCACTGCATGTTGGCAATGCCCGCCGCAGAAAAGGTGGGACTCATGATGCATTGGCCCTTGGGACAGTTCCTCGGATTTTTCGATGATTTGATGCCTCCATTTGGTGGGAAAACTTCCCAACTTGCCATGTTTGCTGAAGGGTAACCATCCAAAGTGATGGGTAAATATCTGTGTAAATGATGTTGCGTCATACCTGCATGACTTCAGAAAGGATGTTTTCGGAGTTTGCAGGCGAAATTCAAGAACGCAAATCCTGATAGCCACAATTCGAACCGGAACTTCTGGTGGTTTTCACACCATCTGACAAAACACAAGCAACAACCAAGGGATGTCAGAGTCCTTTCCCAAGTTCGCTTGCTAAAAAGTGGTGTCCGTCGTCCGTATTTCTTGGTCTTGTCCATATTGAGGTTTCCTAAAATGCTAGTACCCCCAAATCATGAAAAAATCTAGACCATATTAGTAATCCCTTCCTCCTAATATTAAACACCCCCTTAAAAACCACGTTGGATGTAGGGAATTTCCACATTCCATTGGGACCATACAATGGGGATGGCATTTTCAAAATCCATCTTGACTTGGAGATATCCAGAGAGGATGCCAAGAATTTCCTCCCGTTGAGCCCAATGTTTTTTCGGTGGTCCCGTGAAAAAACAGTTACCATCCTCTTTTCAAACGTGGCTGGCAGGAAAATCCCCGAACCACTGGAGGGTAAGTAACTTAGCATTTTAGCTGGGTCGGGTCTGTGTAAAAAAAAACGCCTCAAAATAACTATGCTAGCTAGTATAAAACCAGAGGGTATCCTTTGCTGCATAAACTCCCGATGTTTGTGGGTTTTGATCGACCTGCACAACTCAGCAATGAGTTTACGCAAACAATTACCTAGTTTTTTTGAATATCCACCATGTGTATCTACCTACCTATGGATCGATCCATCCATCCATCCATCCATCCATCCATCCATCCAGACATCAATATGTCACATATGTCCTATCTATTTGTGCTTTCTATCTATTTATGCTTCCTATCCATATAAGTGTGTATATATATATGTGCACATATATATGTGCACATATATATATATATGTTCTGGCAAAAATGTGAGCGTTTGTCAACGGGAAGTGTCAACTCCTCGCATGCCAATGCAGCAATTTCTGCTTGCGCAAATTATGACTTTCTTCTCTCCGCACTAACCGTTCTCCGGCTACGATATGTAGATATAGATACTTGGGCCACTTGGGGGTGCAGTTCCAGTTATATATATAAGCAGTTCTATACCCATAAGTAAAGGGGGTTTCTATCCATTTATGGGATCACAGAAGTTATGGCTATAGAACTGCTTATAGTTATCGTCATAGTATATGATACATCTTGTTATACCCAACAAAATTGAAGGTGATCATCATAGTTATCAACAGTCAACACCTCACTGCATCTCCAAGTCGGTCAGACGTGAATTCGAGGAGAGTAACTCACCACTTGGTGGCGAACTACCCACGAATCGTTTTTGCGGGTTAGTTGGGTTATAACCCCAGTGATTTCAGTGGATTAAGCCTACTTATCCCATGTAATTCACTGGGGTTACAGTATAACCCACTTACGATTCGTGGGATGAGCCACCAAGCAGTCAGTTTGTTTTTCAAATAAACACGATTCGCCTCTACAAATCTATAGACATGTAATTCAAATGCGATAGAAAAATTTGAAGTAGAACAGAAAAAAAATTGATCGTTCCCATGTTCCGCTGAAGCCCATCTTGATCATCTTCTAAGTTGCATATCTATCCATGTTTTCTATTGCTTTCTTTGGCCAAAAAAAACCAACCCATGCCATGTCGATCTTGGGGCATCCCGCTCCAAGAGGCTGGAATACTCTGAGATGGTCCACTCCACCTCTCTGACCTGCAGACGTTGATCTATCGGGAGTCTGAGGGATTCTTTATACTGGTTTTCTGGATGAGATGAATATATATACAGTATATATATAATTACATATTATATATATATCAGATATCTATCTATCAATCTATCTAATTATCTATCAATCTAGCTATCTATCAATCTATCTATCGATCAATCTATCTATCTGTCTTTCTTTCTCCATTACTTTCCCACGATGGTTATAAATCACCATGGTGGCTACACATCAAAAGTCCCCATCCCCCATATGAAACACCCTCCAACAGGAGACCATACAATGGGCTGTTTAATATGCACGGGGGATGGGAGCAAAATGATCAAAATGTTCAGCCAACAAACATCTTAATGCATAACCAAACATAGTGGGAGAGCAATGGAGATTATTCACCACCAATATGATGTATGGGTCTGAAAATGGTTAGTATACCCTCAAGTATTATATAGCAAAATCATGCAAAATCATGGGGAAGAAGTGGGATAATGATGGTGTTGACCATGAATATATGAACCATGGTTAAGTTTTGGTAATTAAATATGGTTTGCTGGAAAATCCATCATTTATAGATTATGTTCCGATTAAAAACCATCATGTTCCCATGAAGAATGATTATGTTCCCAATTTCCCCACTAATACTTATCATGTTTCCCATGAAAACTTAACATGTTCCCATTAAAACTTAACATTTGTCCCATCAAAACTGATCATGTTCCCATGAAAACTTATCATTTCTCCCATGAAAACTTAACACGTTTCCCATGAACATGATGGTTTTACCCATGATGTTCCTATCCTGTTCATCTCCCAGTCCATCCTCCGACCCCATGCCGTGGCGCCGCTGGTGAAAAGCCTGGCGATTTTCCAGCAAACCCAGACGCGTCTCCAGGACCAATGCCTTGTGAAGGCAAAGGATCAACTGTCAAAATGCCATGGGTAATGCTTAAGATATGGTTAAGATATGGTTAATATATATGGCTAATATGTGGTTAATATATGGTTAATAGTTGTGAATGCTTAAGATATGGATAGTATAATGATGGTTAATACATGGTTAATATAATGATGGTTAATATCATTAACTGACCAGTAGTTGTGAATAATGGATATTAATGATTTTATCATCTGGTTTTTACACTTTGCGAACTGGAAAATGGCACTTCATCGATTTACCGAACTTCAAAATGGTGATTTTCCACAGCTGTGTTAGTTTACCAGGGGATACGTGGTAAACCTTGAGGCCCCCCTTTACGAAATCCCTAAGTTGACGCAAATAATGTGATAAACACTTTGGTTTATCAAGCTCATGTCCAATGCCATAAACCATGCACAAGTCATCACCATTTTATGGGATGGATAAACCATGCCAAAACAGTAGGTTTATGGCTTTGGATTTACAACATAAATTCAGATAAAGTTATCTAGGGGATGTAGGAAATATCCGAAGAAAACATGGGTGTACCCTCTGGTGTCATCAAACATGGCGCAGGCAGGAATATCCACCATATACCTCACTGATGGGAACTATAAATCTATATATAAAGCTCCATATGCTCCATTTAGTTCGGGGATTTCCCGTTACCATGATTGATTATCACAGGGCAAATCCCTATGAATGGATTGATGACCATCCAGGAATTTATGGTAACACATAAACCTTAAAATTTGACCATGGCACATATCACATATGGGATGGGAGCTAACAACAATGGTAGTATTTTCTGGGATTTTTCTGGGATATCATGGGGACTTAACGATGTACTGAGAAAAAGTGCGGGAGTTGTTGACCACCAATATGACGACTTTGGGTGTGAAAATGATGGTTAAAATCATGGTACATGGTAGAGTATTTCAAGCAACAAAAATGGTGCTATTCAGAATCAACCATGGGAATATTGTTTGGGGAATAATCAACCATCTGTATGGTATGACAATAGCGAGCCATGAAACATACCCTCTGGTAATTTAACATAACTATGGAAAGATCCACCATTTTTTTCGTGAAATGTCCCATTTTCATAGCATGGTGGATCAATCTTTCCATCGTTTTTTGTTAGTTCGTTTACCAGGCCGGGTACCTTATCTCATCCCATGAAATATATCATATATTGATAGGATTCCCCTGAGGCCCATCCCTAGTATAACCCCTATTCAAAAAACCATCCATCAACCATGGTATATTTCAAAAATGGCTTAAGTGGTTAATGACCCTCGTTCCGGCTGGAATTCCCCATGTTTTATCCGCAACTTTGCGGATAAAACCCTCCTGTAAACTGACATAGATGTGTAAAACCCAGCGTTTGTAGATCCTTTTTCTAGAGAAACCATGGTTTTTCCACATCTCTGTTACATGTTAGTTTACCCCGGCGTAAATGAGATGTGATTTCTATGAAATTTATGATCAAAAAGCGAAGCCTCTGAGAAACCTGCAGTCGGTTTCACGGTTAACCGACCTTCAACCTTCCTCCCAGGGACATCCGAAATCACGCCCTCAAGTTGTACCTCGGAAATCATGGTAAACAAAACCGCCCTTATCAAATCTGGTTTCAACATATCATAAACATTCATAAACCATGGTGTTATATCTTTGGCAAAAAAAACAAAACTTTGCTTTGCAGCAACCGACTTTTATTGGTGAACCATGGTGAGAGGTTTCAGCAGCCAAGGGGCTCTGTCCAACCTGGTGCCTGCTTGTTTCACCTCTCGACGATTCCCCAGAAACTGGTCGTCGATGGGAAAACACGAATCTCCGCGGAGATAGTGGGAATACCATGGAGATTTAATGGGATTTATAGTATTTAATGGGATATTAATAGGATATTAATGGGATTTATAGTGATTTAATGGGATATTAATGGGATATTAATGGGATTTATAGTGATTTAATGGGATATTAATGGGATATTAATGGGATTTATAGTGATTTAATGGGATTTATAGTGATTTAATGGGATTTATAGTGATTTAATGGGATATTAATGGGATATTAATGGGATTTATAGTGATTTAATGGGATTTATAGTGATTTAATGGGATTTATAGTGATTTAATGGGATATGAATGGGATATGAATGGGATATTAATGGGATATATATATATACCCTCTGGTAATTTAATGGTTCGCTATTGACAATGGCCCATAGAAATATTAAAGATGGAGATTTTCCAGTTCGCTACGTCAGTTTACCAGAGGGTAACATTAGGCTTACCCTTCCAAAATCTAGACCTGGGGAAATCCGCGAAGTACCCTCTGGTAAACTAACATAACTATGGAAAATCACCATGTTTAATGGGAAAATCCATTATTTCTATGGTCATTTTCAATAGCGAACTGTAACAAATTACCAGAGGGTAAATGGAGGTTTCCAAAGGAACTCAATGGGGGGATCAATCTTTGATCACCTCCAGTTGATCGATGAAGGCTGATGAGGGGCAATGGTGCCGGATTGCCCCAAAAACACCGTGGGGAATAAACAGAAATACTCATGGAGACTTAATGGGATTTATAGTGACTTAATGGGATATTAATGGGATATTAATGGGATTTATAGTGATTTAATGGGATATTAATGGGATATTAATGGGATTTATAGTGATTTAATGGGATATTAAGATATTAATGGGATATTAATGGGATATTAATGGGATTCATAGTGATTTAATGGGATATTAATGGGATATTAATGGGATTTATAGTGATTTAATGGGATATCAATGGGATTTATAGTGATTTAATGGGATATTAATGGGATATTAATGGGATATTAAGATATTAATGGGATATTAATGGGATAATGGGATATTAATGGGATATTAATGGGATATCAATGGGATATTAATGGGATATTAAGATATTAATGGGATATTAAGATATTAATGGGATATTAATGGGATATTAATGGGATATTAATGGGATACTAATGGGATATTAATGGGATATTAATGGGATATTAATGGGATATTAATGGGATAATGGGATATTAATGGGATATTAATGGGATTTATAGTTATTTAATGGGATACTAATGGGATATTAATGGGATTTATAGTGATTTAATGGGATATTAATGGGATTTATAGTTATTTAATGGGATACTAATGGGATATTAATGGGATTTATAGTGATTTAATGGGATATTAATGGGATATTAATGGGATTTATAGTGATTTAATGTGATTTATAGTGATTTAATGGGATTTATAGTGATTTAATGGGATATTAATGGGATATTAAGATATTAATGGGATATTAATGGGATATTAAGATATTAATGGGATATTAATGGGATATTAAGATATTAATGGGATATTAAGATATTAATGGGATATTAATGGGATATTAATGGGATATTAATGGGATATTAATGGGATAGTAATGGGATATTAATGGGATAGTAATGGGATATTCATGGGATATTCATGGGATATTCATGGGATATTCATGGGATATTCATGGGATATTCATGGGATATTCATGGGATATTAATGGGATATTAATGGGAGATTAATGGGATATTAATGGGATATTAATGGGATATCAATGGGATATCAATGGGATATTAATGGGATATATACCCTCTGGTAATTTAGCGGTTCGCTATATATATATATATATATCAGTTATATAATGTTATATATATATATAACTGATGCTACAACAGTAGGGTGAAACGCAAAAAACGATTTGGGGAAGCTCGGTATGTGACCTCACGAGATCATTCCTTGGCTTTGCCTCTCATGTGGCAAAGCCAATTTGGAAAACCACCAGTTTTCCGACCTGGTTCACTCCCCAATTTGGCCAATAGTCTCTCCAAGAATTCATGGTGTAATTAGCGTAAATGATTGAACTTGCCAAATCAAGTGCTGTAATATGCTGTCTGTATCTTCCATGAAATGAAAAAAACAAAAACTGGCTTCCAAACAAAGTCTATAAATGATTTTGTCCATGGTTTTGTCCATGAAAAGGGTTTACCCCAAATCCCCATTTCGTCCAGATTTCTGGGTAAATTATGAATTAAGGCCTTTTTCTTTCCGCTTCCCAAGAGGTCCATCCCTGAGACTCGAAGATGGCGCTCGATACCCTGGTGAAATCGACATCTGAAACCCAAGCAGTTTCAAGGTCACCGCTGACAAAATGTCAGGAAAAAGGAAAATCAACCACGTCGCTTCTTTCTGCAGAGTTTCAACTGTTGGCATTTCTTCTTCCAGTCCACCACATGAAGCTGGTTGCCCGTGCTCGGGATCCATGTGCCTCTGAACAAGGTGTCAAAGTCAGAAGTATCCTTCACATGTTGCATGACATATTCGCACACCAATGCCTGGTGTGGAAAATGAAAACGTGGACTGAAACCGGAGGTGCATTGTGCAAATCCTTGGAGGTAGAGGCTATTGTTTAGTCCTCTTGTTCCCACTGGCAGCTTCTCTGGTCTCAACCAAAGGATGGCTTGAGACCACATGCTTTGGAAAGTGTGAGCCATGTCTCCTAGTGTGATGTGGTGATGTGCAACGTCATCCGCATCAACAGTGAAAAGCACCAACTCATTACCTAAATCATCCTCACGCACGATCGGCAGGGCTGCACGAATGTGAAAGGAAAAACTCAAAGCAAGTTCAAGCCAGGAAACGCCGGATGCTGGCATATAACTAGGTGGTTCACGCGGCCAAACACATAGAGATATCCAGTCAACAAGGCTGTTAGCAAGCGAAGCTCCCCAAGAAAAATCATCCGCCCATTCTGAAATGTCCTCACGTTCAAAGACTATCCCGTCGTCTGGTCGCCAAGTGCGCAAAAAGTTTAACACTGCTGACATGTGCATGCACATTGACATTGTCTGCTCGTGACTGAGCAGCTTCCCACTGCGCTCTGGCTTTTTGTAGGTCGAGCGCAAGAAAGAAAAACTGGTGCAAGTCACTCATGGCATGTTGAACATCTTCATGCTTGGCTTTGAGGCTGGAAACCCATTCCGGGTTGAGCTGCTGGCATGTCTGGTTCGCTGTCATGTCGGCAACCATGTTACCGTAGGCTAGGTATCTGAGCAAGGGATTATTTAGGGTGGCAACATTCCTATGGGCTTTAATTTTCCTTATTTCAACTGGCTCACTACGCCTAAGAGCATGCCACAAACGAACCAACAGGTCGGAGTTATTTAGCTGTTGAAGAACATCTGCATGACTGGCAATTCTGCAACGCTGGACGGCTCTCACAACATAGTCACTGTCGGTGTGAATTATCAAGTGACCTGGCAAACTTAAGGCATGGATTGCAGCTGAAAGTTCTGCACGGTTGATGGTCTGCAGTCCCTTGAGGCGGGCTGCAAAGATTGGCTGCAGGGATGGAGGAGGTTTCCCATTTACTAAGGCTTGTTCTGCATAATGGCATCGTTCATCATCATGTTTAAGCAAGTCCAAGACACAAGAAAATGCACAAAAACGGGTGGTGGCCATGCTGGGGTTGAGGCAGCTACCATCTGTAAACAGGTCAACAGTTTCTCCCAATTGTGCCCTTTCTTGGCAAAGTTGCATCACATGGTCGTTTATCACTCGGCCAGGCTCGCTGGCATGGATGAGGCGGTGAGAATCAGCATGCTCATGGACATGGATTACTGGCAATGTTGGCAAGGTGCTTTCTAAGGAAACAAGCTTATTTACCAAATCCACATATGGGGTCCTTACATCGGCAAAACTGGGGCAGTGAAGCATGCGGAGGTCATGGCTGTCTTCGCCACCGCAATAGATGCAACATCCAGTGGCAGTCTCATCAGAGGCCCACTTCTGTTTCTGCGTTTCAAGCTGGAAAACACCGCAAATCTGTCTGACAAGCTGGCGTCTGTCTGACTCCGGGAAAGCTCTCAATACTCTGGAAGTATCAAGTCTGCTGATGTCTGGCAACCCTTTGAGCAATTTACGCGATGTGTAAAGAGTGGTGAAGTCACGTTGCCACGCAAGGTTGACCTGGAGGAGGATTTCCTGGAGGCTGGTGTGCGCAAGGTGGAGGCGCTCAAACGCTGACACAAGCAAAAATCCTCTGGCATCAATATCCCAATCAATTTTTCGCAAGTAAAGTCTCAAGGCAGATGCCGGGCCCTTTACCGTGCTAATTTTTCCTTGAAACTGGGAGGCAACCTGAAAGAAACGAGACCTCATTACCTCTCCCTGTGTCAACCACCACTACTTAGCGGCCCTGATGGCTTGACAAATCAACCAAACTTGGGGTCAAGGTTTCTTTTTCCTGCCAACAGGAGGCCCAAGGCTGGGTTCATCGAACGGGATGGTCCTAGGACCGCATCAGCTGATTTGGTTCTTACTTTATCAATTGCATCGGATGCAGGGGGTGCCATTTCCGCACCGTGGAACATGGAAGGGTAAACACTTGAAAGTAACAACCTTTCTTTCAGGCCAAGACCAACATGGAGGGCTTGCAAACGTTGCAGCCGGGCAAACCCCTGATCTAAGCGCTCCTTTCTATGGCCTAGTGCGTGTGGACCAGAGTAATGCATCTCTAAACCAAGGTCACGCGCATGATGCGCTCGTCGAATGTTGGCATCTGGCAGGCTGATGCGAAGTTCCTGTTCGAGTGTTTTGGCTTTCTCTGTTGTGGCGGCCCACATCCAGGTTTTACCAAAGTCAATACTAAGCCCAAAAAGGTTGGTAAACTTGACAGTGAAATCCATGGCAAGGGCTTGGGGTGGAATGGTGAGGCA